CAGTCCAACACTGTCCAGGTTTAGGATGATTTCATTTGACAAATTACTAGTACTAGTATACAATATTATTGAATAGGATGAGACAATATAATAAACAAATATTTTTCTTTATTATCATTGTATAGAGCCATAAAGATTCAATTCCTTCAGGATCCAATGAGGCGTGCCTCGGAAAGTTTTAATATAAGCAGGAGGAACCAATATAAAATGGAAGGGTTAAAATTCCGCAGATGTGGCGTCTATTAGCTTTCTTATAATTTGGATATTCTATTTTGGAGTCAATGTATTAGGAGTAGGACTACATAATTATGGTTCATTTACATTATCATCTAATTGAATTCAAAAGGATTAAAAGAAAGAAGATGAGTTCTTCTTTCTTTTATAAAAAATAAAAATGGAGTCTTTGCTCCATAGAGAGGTCTCACTCGACGTTGTCACAATGCTATAAACTTTTTATTTTATATTCTCACTCTTCAATCGACTAGTCTGTGTGTCAAATATATATGAGGAGGCTTCCTTTATCTAAAGTTGATGATCCTCTTACTAAACGATGAGGCAAGTCCAAAACTGAAATTGTGGTTCATCAATTATAAGACAAGACATTATAATGGACTTACCTAAGGGTCGAGAACTAAGAGAGAAATTATGGTGTGGAAATGGTTTTAAGGGTCCTTTTGACATACCTTTCGAAAAGTTAGAAGGAGCTTTTGAAATTCAAAAAATGCTTATAGACTTGTTTGACTAATTTTATGATAGTGATTCTTCAAGTTAGAAGGATATTTGGAGGAAATTGATTTAATATGATTTCTTCTAAAAGAACTTTCGATACTTTTAAAGGGCCCCCCACAGAGTACACGAGAACTTTATACCTCTTCTCCTCTACTCATGAGTGATGTCTTATGTAAACGACAAAATTCCCACTTTTGTTCTCATTGAATGATTTGCTGTTAGGCTAAATCTGTGGCCCTGTCCAAAACGTCAGGCGCCCCCTCCAATAGGGGACGCCTGAACGGACATGGCTGTTCTCGACTGTCGAAATGTGTGAAAATCTCTCGATCTTGATCCAAGAACCAACCTACGAAATCCTACATGTATAAGACGACGTTAGGTTTGTCGACAGAGAATGAACAAACAATTTGAGGGCTTAACTCATAGTCTAGTAATGCGGAGGAGCCGCTCCTTTGCTTCAAAGCGTATAATGTATTAAATGGGGAATAAGTACGTTGTGCATTTTACATATTTCTTTATATAGGTTTTGCTCGTGGATTATATATTTGGTTAACATTAGTTTCTAACTAGTGTTCTAAAAAACATAAAGCGTGATTAGATGTGGAGGCTAAGGTTCAAGCTTTAGACGTGAAAAAAGTTTTCTTATGTTTAATATTATTTCGAATTTTTAATCATTCTAAAAATCAGTTGATAATTAAAATAATACATAGCAAATATCTAAAATTATTTTTGACTTTTTTACAGATAAAATCATTTTAAAAGTCGAAACTAAATTCAAATAAAAAGCTTTAAAAAATGAGAGAATAATAATAATAATAATAATAATAATAATAATAATAATAATAATAATAATAATAATAAAGCACCTCTAGGTGCACATTAAGCGACCAACAAAATTTCGCGCTCACTGCCAATGCTTAGCGTTTCACACGCACTTTAAAGAACAATGTTTTTAACACTGAAAATGATGCTTGAATGTAGAGAAAAATTTATATCTATAAGGAAACTACTTATTTCGATTGATTAACTTGTCAAATAAATCCTAGTGGTGCCAAATGAACCTCTGTATTTGCTTAATTTATTCACATTATGAGAATAGGTGCTCGTTAAAGAATTGACGAGAAGAAATTGACTTTATGACTCTGGAGGATTATTTTTTCATGCTTCACAAATTTATAAAATTTTGGAATTATTCTTCTTCAAATCAAGTCGAATCGAATCATGTCTAAGACACGAAGTCTACATCTTATAAATTGTTGTATGATGAGACTTTGTTTAAAGTGTAAAGTCATTTGTAAGGGAAATTTGTCAGAGGTTCTGATGTGGTGGATTTTGATCGGTTTTTTATTTTTTTATTTTTATTTTTTTTTAAAGATCAATGAAATTGTGTCATTTGACGTTCTGGCAATTTCCCTGATATTTTTCCCTATACAAGTAAATATCTCTCTTGTTTAAATCTACATATTATATGCCCAAACTATCTGCGATTGTTCTTTAAATTTAGAGTCAGGTTCACAAGAAATCAAGTTTGCCGTTATATCAAAGGAATAGGTGTATTGAGCTTTAGGTAGAGATCTGGGAAGAGTGATAAATGTTATAATATTTATCGTCATACACCTATCAGTTTCTGGACTATCGAATTTTTCCTTTCAATAAATTTGAAAATACTTTCTCTTCTTGAATGGGTATAAGAGATCAACAAGATCGAACACGGGTTTAAACCATAAGCAAAATTGAAATAAAATAATAATCTACATCCACCGAATTCACAATGTGTCCTTAAAATAAATTTGCTCCTTCCAAAGGTGCTTAAAGGCAAACAGTCGTCTTCTAGGATAAAACGAATTTCTCTTCTTATGGAATCAACACAACAATTTGTAAGATTTTCAACAAACAACTTTGTGTTTTGAACTCGAAAATCTGAAAAGGATATGTGGGGTGTTGCATATGTATATATCATGGTGTGTAACATGATTTTGATGTCTATTCATACATATACAATTTGAAATTGGTGTAATTGCATACAACAGCCTAAAAAGTCAATTCACGAACAGTGATGACCGTTCAGATACCATTTCAAGTGAACGGAGGCATTTTTTAAGTTTATCACGGAAGGCAATTAAAGGTCACTTGTTATAGATGTCGATCATAGCAATAAGAAGATGTCAATTACAGGTCACAGAGGTTGATCACATACAGATGGTCGGTCACAGCCAAAAAAACTCGTGAAAAAAGCTGATTGATTCAAATAAATAATACCATTAAGAATAATTTTGTTCAAGTACCCAAAGAATTTGATAGTAACAATTCAGTATCAAATTTGAAATAAATTTTGTCCAGAAGATATATCTATATATATATATATATATAGACAAGGATCAACGCATTGATACCAGCATACGCATCGAACCGACTCAACGCAAGGCTATGGCGAAGCACATGGGGGTTTGAACTGAACTAGATAAGATTTAGACCTCTCCCTTCCAAAGACTAGTAGTATGCTCATGTCCAATTGCCAAACTTCCACTATTTAAACCAAACAAAAGTTTTCAAGCTTTCTTATATAGGATAAATTAAGACAGTATAATCAAATTATTTCTTATATCAAACTTCAAGTGGATTAATTTGAAAAAAAATATTTCATTCAAAACTAAATGAGTTTCAGCAAATAAATAAATCACATTAATCCTCTTACAAAGAAGAATGTAAATATGCTCAATCCCATTAATTTTGAATTATGAAACCCACTGAAACTTGGATTCAAAGTTGATCCATTTCAAAATATACAAAACCATCTTTCCAACAAAAAATAGGGATGGGGAGGACATTTGGTTTATGTGGAAGATCGTGAAAGGGTTTGCTTGTAATGATTTTTGCTTTTATTTTTACTTTCTGTAGAAGAGTTATCGGGAAAGGCACCTTAATTTTTGTTTAAAAACTAATTTCTAAAGAATTCATATTCTGAAAGAGTTTCTAGGGAGAATCACATTGGACTAACTTTCTCTAAAAATTCTTCTATCTAGAAAAGACATTTTCATATAATTAGCTAAACGAGTTCAAAAGCAACTTTTAAGTCCTAAAAGCAGCTTTTGAATTTCCTTTCGCTTTTTTAAAAGCCATGCCCACGGCCCCTAATATTATCTATGAGAGATGATTCCAGCCCAGACATGCCTGGGTTGTGATTAGCAGTGCAGCCTTGTTTTGCAAATTAGGTATGGCTGGCTGAGGCTGATCAATCGCAAGGATTGTCGTCCTACCAGATCTCATCTCTTCACTCTCTCTCATTCAGTGGGACATGTTTCCAACAAAGGCTCACATCGCTCCTCGCAAATCCCAAGATTGTCCATGAAGAGCGAATCTAGATATTCTATAATAATTAATTTAACTAATTTTAGCACGTAGTGACTATATTTTCCTGCAAAAACTGCTGCCTTGAAAAAATTTATAACATAACCAGCTGCATCCATTTTTGTTGCCAGTGAAATTTTTCCATCCATCGCAAAACAAATTCATAAATTCAGCTCAACGAATCATTGACGCAAATGAGATTCAATGTACAAGATGCATATGTGCAAGAATTCAATCCAATATGTTATACCCAAAACTGGCTTTATCCAGAAAGGTAATTAATTACATCAAACTATCGAAATGCCTCTGTACAAATTAACCAACCATTCCATTCCAAACTAATAGCTAGTAATATCAAGTACAACCATGCCAAACCCTTGCGCTCCTCAGAGGAACAAAACCGGGAGTGTTGGAAGTTACAGAGAAGAAATCCATATGTTTCGAATCTATAGATGAAGTTAAAAAGTTGTAATCTTTACAAAAATGCAGCACCCCATAGTACAATTAAGGAGCTCATGAAAATATTGCTATAGAAGTATTCTGAATGGCAACCAGACGTCGTAGAATTTGAAGAAGGAGCAAGTAAAGTTCCATTTATGAAATTGACATTTCGTCCATGACTACAAGAATGAAAACAAGCAAAAAGGACAAATCATTAAGAAAAATTAAACAGCAACCTTAACTTTCAAATTTTGTAGGAAGACAAATTTTTAAAAACATCTGAACAACCAACATGTTTAACTGTCTTACCTTCCTGGGAATATGCAGGGACGGTGACCTACACCAAAAAATCAAACATAAGGGAATTAATGCATAATTAGGAGTCAACTATGACCTATTTGTATGCATTCATAATTAGTTTTTGATCTTTTACAAAATTTTAAAATAATCTTTTGCTTCAAAGGAAATTCACTGATGTTTTTTCTTATAGTTTCTTTTTACTTTCTGATGTGTGCCACCTCCATTGAAGTGAATTCCCGATTTTCAAGGAATAAGTGTGCAAATCATTCAGATCCCACAGACCAGTACCATAATTGAAAATCAAGTTAGGTGTCATACTTGGATCTTTAGTGGTGATGGTGGCCACACCATTGAAGTTACAGGTTCCCTCAGCCATTGCCATCCTATGATAGTAAGCATCAAAAGCATACGATGCATGTGCGACCACAGTATCTGGTTCATAGCATGGGTTCCCCTGCAACAAAGGAGAACAATCCACTTTCCCTGGTCCACAAGCCCAATCTAGTGCTGCTTGTACTAGCTTGCGATCAGCACCTTCCTTCGCAACACAAAAGGTCTGATTTGTAGTATCATTTGATAACAGAGTCCCAGAACCTGTCAAGTGTAGGCTGTAAACAGGCACCCCATTTGCATCGAAAAGTCCCCAATTCTTTTCTAAAATAGGACCAGACCTAAGATCTTCATTGTAAAGTTCATAAATGTATGTATTAATTGCAATCCCAGGATGTTTGGGAGTTCCCGTTGTGTTTAGGACATGCCTAATAAGGTTACTGTTGTAAGTGTTAGCATTGTCAAGAGTGGCACCTGGATCAGAAGAGTCGCCCTTGGAGGGCCAACCTGATTCGGTAACAACCACAGGAATATTAGTGAAGTTTAGAGAAGACAGAGAGAAATATGCTGCATCTACAATTGCGTCAAACACGTTGGTATAGTGCAGAAGTGTGTTTGTATCAACAGCTTCCTTGTTAGGAGGAAGCGGACGAAATAGAGCATAATCCAGTGCAATCTTACCATTGGATTGTCTGTAATTGTAGTACGGATAAACATTAAGCATAAAAAATGACCCTGTAGACTGCAAGAATTTGAGCAAGGGGACCATGACAGGGACCCACGAGTAGTTGAAGAAAGCATGGGAGGGCGGAAATGAAAATTGGATAATTAAAGAAGAATGTGGGGTGGAAACTTTGATTTGGGAATCAAGGCCTGAAGCCACAAGGGCGGAGTGAATGAATTCCATTGCAGATACAAGAATAGAAGCAGCATTTGGAAGGGTCGTAAGAACTTCGGATCCAACAGCTATGGATGTGATGTTGGTGGCCGGGACATGTGCAAGAATGTTGTGAGAAACCCAATTGGCTGCAGTGGCATTTGACTGCCCAATGCCTAGTAGCTGATCATTAGGTACAGATACAATAACACGTATTCCAGTATTAGCAAGTGCCAGAAGCATCTCTCTATCAGTATCAAAAAGCCTGACATGGTGGATCTGCTGAGCCTTGAGAAGGGCCACCACCTGAGTTGGACTAGGCATGTCAGAGAGTTCTGTACCGATATTAACGCCAACGAAAGCATCTGACAAAAGAAAATCACAGCCGCAAGTTTAGAGAGGAGGCTGATCAGCCAAAGACAACACTCCAGACATCCCAATTGCAATCAGCTCATTGACACGTAAGATCATCTCAAACAAAAGAATATTTTGCTTAGAAACAAATACATTTGGTGGGAGAAAATTTTACCACGGTGAAGTGGTTTGACACTTAAATGCAACAATTTTGCACTGTGTAAATTAATGCTTCCATATAGTACTATCAAAATAATTTGTTCCAAACGTAGTATGATCATTAGTAAAAGATTAAAACTGAAATGTCAAAAGAAACTATAACTTAAGTAGAAATGTCATAAAGGAAAATGAAAACATTAGTTTATCATTAACTGTATCATCATCCTCATTGAGGTCAACAAAATCCAGGTTATCAGGTACTCTTTGTATCCAACAATCAGATTGCATTTTGGTTCAAACTGCAAAGAATCAATCTCAGCTCTAATGTAGTTTTGAAATAGTTGAAGATCATATAAAGATGTAAATTGAATTCATTGTTGCTTATCCATTTTTAAAAGCAGTTAATTATCAAATTCGGAATGGTAGTACACAATACGAGCTAGAATTAAAAAACTTATAAGAACTGGACGAAGCACAGTTCCATCTCATGGGATGAGTCTGTTATAGAACTTGGAAACGTTATATCTCCAAAGTTAACCATTGAAGTTGGAGAACCCAAGTTTATATAAACCCTACACCTAAAGTCCATATTTTCAATGTGGGATCTAAGTTCCATACCTTGTACAATGGAAATCATGACAAATTACTACGCTCTACGATTCCTGCACCCACGTCAAACTGTTTTTGCATTAGCCCTACAGTTAGTCCCCAACTGTTAAGGAGATAAATCAAGTAAAATATCATAGATTAGGCAAGATACAATTGGGTTTATTGTGTTTCTATATTTGGTCTTTATTCAATACGTGTATTATTGATTTACTCTATATAATGAAAGTAAAGGACCGGAAATTAAAATTGAAAAATCCAAGTCTATATAAACCCTACACTGAATTCCCATACTTTAAACATAGGATCCATGTTTCATCATTGCAATGGGAACCATGATAAAGTACCATGCTTCACAATCCCAACTCTCATGTTGGATTGGCTTAGCACTAATTCCATGACTGGTCCCAGACATGAACACTTCTATGTTGGCATCACCATCTCGATTTATCATGGTTCCCATTGCAAGATATTGACCCACATTGAAATTAGGGATTTTCAGTGTAATGTTTATATAGGCTCTCAAACTAGCTTTCAAGGTATGACTTTCTCAAAATCTATAACGATAATATCAGAGCAGACACGTGACATAGCAATGTTCACCAGGGAATGGTCATGAGGCTAGTGACCAGACACGAACACTTCTATGTTGGCATCACCATCTCGATTTATCATGGTTCCAATTGCAAGATATTGACTCACATTAAAATTAGAGATTTTCGGTATAATGTTTACATAGACTCTCCAACTAGCTTTCAAGGTATAACTTTCTCAAGATCTATAACAATGTTATCAAAGCGGACACATGACATTGCAGTGTTCATTTGGGGCTGGTCATGAGGTTAGTGCAAAGCTAGTCCAACTTAGTAATCAGGGTTAGTACATAGCTAGTCCGACTTAGTAGTCAGGATCGCAGAGTATGGTGGTTTATCAAGGTTCCCATTGCAAGGTATGGGATTTGGATTTCGCATCGAAAGCATGGACTTTCAGAGTGAGGTTTACATAGACTTAAGTTTTCCAACTTCAATAGCTTGCTTTTGAGGTTTGACTCTCGCAACATCTATAACATAGTCTTGAGTTTGAGGCAATTATATCATCTAGTATTCACTTGTGAAACTGAAACTTGTGTCAAGGAACGGAAAAGGTGAAACTTCTATTATAGGTAACAAAGCCATGTCGGTAGAGACAAGTATCCTTAATTCTAGGATTCTAGTTAGCTATTTCTGTAGACTGTAATTAATTAGCAGTAAATGCTATTCGATAATCAGCTAGTAGACTGGTCAACTTTGTATAGCACAGGATACGTGTATTCTTTCCGGTCTCTAGAAGTAATATTACAAGCAAATAATTATATAATTTTGCATAGTCTCTTCAATAAAATAATTTTTGGCATTCAAACCAATGTGGCATCAAAGCCCGTATAGTTTCTAGGCTGTATTTCTTGCCTTTTTTGGTTTGTCTTTGTCCTTTACTTATCTTCTCCACCAGATTTTCCCTTTTTCTACCATCAGCAGCCATTCCCATTTCTCCGACATCTTTGCCTATTTCCAGTGTACTCTATTGGCGTTTCTTTCCCAGCCTACTTGCCCTTCAATTTCTAAATTTAGGGCCTGTTTGGAAGTGATCCCCCCCCCCCCCAAAAAAAAATTAATTTTTTGACCGTTATTTCACTAATCCAGCCGTTATATTTGACTTCTTCTCTCACAGATAAATCCCACTTTTCTCCTAACGGTCAAAAAATCAATTTTCAAAATCCCTCCCAAATAGGCTCTTACTTTCAATTCAGCTCATTATTTTGTGTTTAACATGGCTAAAAATCCTCCAACCAGAAAATATAAAATCAGCCTAAATCCTCCAATCATCTTGACAATCTAACTCTTCAAATTACCACTGAAAAACTAAATGAAGACAATTTCCTCGAATGGGCTGAGTCTGTTAAACATTTTTTCTCAGAAACAGAGGGAAAATGGAATATTTACACGGGATGTGAAAATACTTGCACTCTCAAATTCAACCTCTGACTCTTGCGAAGCTAAAAACTCTGTGATAATGTCCTGGTTGTTGAACTCAACTCAACGCAACTATAAATGGGAATACCTTTCCAGTTTTTTCCACAAATAAGGATGTTTGGGACGCTGTGACACATTGTCAAAGTTCATGGGCCCAATCAAGAAGATTTCCATCACAGCCTACAACTCTTTGAAAGTTCTGTGGCAGGAGATAAATGTCTACCAGCATATTGGAATGGAGTCACCTACTGATGCACAACTTTCTGGGAAACTTATATTTAAAATTTTAGGTGGTCAAAATTCATAATTAGGTAAGGTAAGAAGGTCACAACCTTGGTAGGGATTCTCGTCCCTCTTTAACTGAAGTTTGTTCCCTTGTGTATGGTGACGAATCCATGAAGGCAATAATGCTTTAACAAACCTTTTTCTGTAGTTTGGCACTTAATACTTTCATGGATAGTAAGAATAAAGGAGAAAAAGACCCTATGAGGTGTTATTTCTTCAAGAAAACAAAGAACACTAGAGAGACATGCTGGAGGAAACTAGATGGAAGGCTACAACAGGAAAATAGGACTGCTAAACAACAATGGATTCCTCTGTTAAAAAAAAAAAAAGAAAAAGAAAAAAACCACTTTCTAGAGGATGCTACACATTCTGGAAACCTTCCATTTAAAAAGTATCAGCTGGAACATTGAAGCGCTTCTGTATATATGTAATGAATGAAGAAATTAAAATGAACTAAATCAAGATGCTGATAGATCCCCAGTGCGATTTACTTACAGTAGGTACAAGAAGGTGGGGGAAGGGATATCAATGGCCCATCTAGAAGGATAGAAGAATCCAGATCAATAAAAGAGTGAAATGCATATGGACTCACTTTATAATTTGTTTGTATTCTGCACACAGGAGGTGTGTCTGGGAAGCATCTTAATTATGGACAAACAGAATATATAGGGGGAGAAGGGTGTTAAATTCATTCAATATTATGTCCTCAAATCTGTGGGTGGAGAGACACAAGCCTCTCAAAAGTCTGTAACTCTTATTTGCATTCCAAATTCTGCTTATAATCTTTCTCAGTACAATACAGAAAATATCCACAGATTCTCATTTTCTATTTACTTTACATAGTATATTTTCTGTTGTTCTTCACAATTATCTACAAAACTGCCAGAGCCTACCAGATAATAACAGATAGATGAGCTGCATTCGAGACACAAGCACTCTTCCAACTCTATAACTCTCAACTTCTGCATGAATGATTTGAACAGAACCCCCTACCCCTTACATTTATTAACTCCTGCGTGAATAATTACATAAACATCCCAACCTACCATCCCCTTACTTTAGCTAGCTGAATGGAATTATTAACATGCTTTTGGTGCCTATCAAACTCTTGTATGAATTCATGGGTTCTTCCATGTTGCCTCAAATTTCAGCCTCTGGATCATTGATTCAGGGGAGGGACATATCACATGTCCAAATAATCATATTGTCCAAATAAAAACTGAACACCGTGACCACACTAAAGAACTTTTATAATGTCATCCAGATTCAAGTTCGTCTACAGCTAAAAGTCGTTTGTTTAAATAATGGAGGAGAACATATTAACGAGAGTCTGGACGCATTATTTACACAAAATAGGCTTATCCGTTAGTCCAGTTGTACGAATACTCAACAAAATGTAGTGAGAAAGAAAAAACTGACACTTGTTAGAAGTAGCTGGACCCTTATGTTTTCAACAAATGTCCTCAATAAATGCTCTAAAGATTTCAGGTTTCAAAGAATCCTATTCAGACATTATAACAAAATTTCACTCATATCGGCGTCTTGGATTCCTTAAAAGGCCAATCTAAACTAGATACTAGAACCCTTAAGACTATATTCTTGGGCACCTCTCCTATAAACAGAGGTTATAAGAGCAATCCACCTTCTTGAAAGACTTATATACAATTGATGTCAGTTATTTTTTTTATTTTTAAACAATCCTTACTATATGTAGACTTATCTTTAGGGGAATAACTCAAAATTTGAAGACCAATCTCAATGCTAGTCGATAACTTTAGCAATACCCATTTGAGAAAATGGAGAAAAAAGGGAAGATACCCGAGATGATATCAATCAAAGAAAAATGAATTACGTTGCTACTCAAGAAGACCTCAAGCAACTAGTTCAGCACGAGGCCCTGCCTCTTCTTGGCAAGACCAATCATTGCTCCACAAGATGAAAAATTTGGGCATTTGCTAGTTTTGCTTTTAACTCTTTAGTCTCTACCAGCACAAATTACTTCAATTTACTGTATTCCAAACATGCATCTATTTTCAATCAGAAAAGCCACAACATCAAGGATTCTGGACAATGTGGATTACAGCAACATAACAAATGCATACACGCAAACGATTTGCAAATAAAAGAAATAAAATTGTAGTAGTTTAAAAATGGGACCAATAAAGCATACGGAAGCAAGTGAATGAAGAAAAAACATTAACCTTCGTGTGCAGAAGAAGCAGATACTAATAAAACAAAAACAAGAATTAATAAATCCATTGCTATTCTCTTTTCTTGTTCAGCTGGAGAGCTTCAATTTTAGGAAAAAAAAAAAATCATGGAAACTCTCGAAAGAATCGCATCAAAAGACAAAAAAGGTGTGTATATTTAGAGAGACAAGGAGAAAAAGAGAGAGAGAGAATGGGAAAACCTTCGTTTGAACAAGAGACTAAAAGCGAGACTTGATGGGATGTCTTAACTTTAGGCCCCAACCAAAGTTCACATCTGGATTCTGGGCTTTTGCTGGGCATTTTGACTTTTGAGGCATGTCCGAATCGAAGAGTAATTTTAGGAAGCTGATATGGCGATGATAGCTGGATGCCATCCCATGAGAAATTTGTTATTAATTACGGTGAGTTTGATTACAAGTATAGAATTTATATGTAAAAAAAATTAATTGTCTAAAATTTATTTGCAGAGAAATTATCAATTAAATGTATTTGATTGATTTAATTTTCAATTTAGAAAATATTATATTTGTTCATTTTTTATTAGTGGGTAAATGAGACGGAGTGGATCGATGAGAGAGAGAGAGAGAGATAGTGAATTCCCTGAAAAGGTAAAATCCTACTCCCCTAAAAAAATATTTTCATTGATTTTGAGGAAAATATGATCACGTGATCAAAAGTAGGAAAATATTTTTCATGGAAAAAAATGTCAATCAGACGGTACAAAAGTAGAAATTTAAGTGGAAAAATACATTTTTCATGAAAAATATTGACAATCAAACACACCCTAAGACCATTTCTAATGTGAACACCAAAATGCACCATCTTTTTGTCCAAGGAAGCTCCAATGAAACACTATAGTTTGCACTATTATTGTGTAAAATGGTGCAACGTGAATAGTGTTACACCGTAAATGGTGCAAAGTGGCCAAAATCTTTTTTGCATTTCATTATCATTTTCCAAATAAATTGATGAAGTGTATTTGTGTCATTTGTGCTATATATTTTTTTTAATACAATAAATTATTATTATTATTTAAAATAAATTTTAAATGTAAGAAATAATTAATTAATTAATTAAAAGAAGAAAAAAATTTAAAATATAACAAACACAGTTATTTATTAAAATTAACATGAAATATATTAAACGACGACATACATATATTAGGTGTTCTACAATTGAAATTTGCAATAATGAAAAGACCCGTATGGTTTTGGGAAAATCAAGTATTACATGATATCATGATTGCATGCATAATAATGCATAACATGATTATTGAGGATGAACGTAATGTTGATGCACTAGTTCGAGAATGGATGGAAGCGTTAAGTCCGGAAATTGAGTTGGTTGAAGACGAAAATCAACATTTTCAAAAATTTCTTGCTCGTCATAAACAAATCAAGGATAAAGAGATTCACATTGCACTTCGAAATGCATTAATCGCTCATTTGTGGGAAGAATATATGAATTTCGAGAATTAAATTGTAAAAATTTAGCGACTTCGTCATATCCAAATTCGAAATGCATTCAACTATTTTTTGATGGCGTGATTTAATATTTTCGTTGTTGTAGTGTTTTTATTAATTGTATTATATTTTTTATATTTATTAATGAATTTAATATTTTCTGTAATTTGACGTAATTATTTATTTAGTAATTTATGTATTTATAAAATAATTAAATAAATAATATTTCAGATAAATAAATTATAAAGAATGAAAAAAGGGAGGAAATGGTTAAATACTGTTCATTTGATGTAAGTTTTGGTGTAATGGTTGGAGATGAATTTCAGTTTGGTGCAAGATTTGATGCAAATTTTGATACGGAATGGTACAAAATTTGGTGCAGCGCTAGAAATGACATAAGAGTTGTTAGAACTCCATTTTTGTTAATACATTTTGAAATTGTAGATTAGTTGAGAATGTATGATTGAAAAATAAGGAAAAATTATGTTTTTTTATAATATTATTTTATTGAAAAATGTGTGATTGAAAATAAGATAGAGGAGACTAATTTTAGAAGGCTAACATGGCTATCATACTTGGATGCCACCCAATGGTCACATATTGGGGCTAGACTTCCAACCTTTTAGGTAGTACGCTTTGAGTTCTTATCTTTGGCTCCTTATGTGATTGAAACTACTAATGCGAATATAGAGATCATACACAGCCTTCATTCAACTTAAAGCAAAAGTATAATATTGTCAAGTCACCTAACATCCAATTTTAGTTGTACATTAAATGCTCATTTCATAGGGATCCAAATAAACATATTTGAATAAAAAATAACAAAAAAAATTAGAACATTACTTTCGAAGGTTAGTGACTTGATATTCGCTACATGAAAGATTAAGGAAGCAACATCAACATTTACTTCTTAACTTGATCATAATTTATTGGGAAATGAAATTTCTTTTTGGTCAGTAAAATAGCAAAATGCTTACCATTCATAATCTAACCAAAAAAATGTTCAAAATGGCATATGAAATGTCTAAGTTGACTTCTTTGCAGAAATATCCACATTATCAACGACGATGGCGTAGGGATACTATCATGTGGTCAAAATTTCATGTACTATGGTAGTCGATGAATATTGTTCAAGGCCCATATGTAAGTTGGATTCTTCGAGAGAAGTTGTTAGTACAATTCAGAATCCTAATATGCAAATTGCAAAAAACATCCAAAATCTACGCACACAAAAATGCACTCTCTGTCTAACTGTAGTCTTCTTCATCTTCCACTTTTATTGATTAGACTGTGTAACATTGTCAATCAAAATTGTAGCTAGAGTTCACTGTTAGACATCATAATTTTCTCAAAACATTGGATTACTCTTGATGAGAGGTTATTAAAAAATTTGGGACTTATACATGTTCCTTTTCTTTTTCTTTTTGTTAAAACATCTCTCATTCCTTAACAAATGTCGCAGTTAGAACATTATTTACTAATGAGATCCAAGCCTCATGGATTCTAAATGCTATATATTAATATGTTTATTTAGTTTAGTCAAATCTAATCTCTGAATTTGCAGAAAGCAAAACATCCTGAGAGTGACTGTCCGATAAGATAGCAAGAAATGTTCTAGTAATGTCCTCAGATTTTGATGATCACCACATTCCACGTTTGACAGCATGTCACACCCATTTTGAATAGGGTAAAACATATCAACATTCGAAGTAACAAGTAGCATGAAAACTTCCTTTTTCGTGAAATAAAGTCATTTTTGACAGAAATTACGAATCTAAATTAGCTACGCTATGGAGGTAGTCACTAAAAAGGTTCACATGCATTATTTACTCAACAAATGGACATTTCGAAAATAACATTATATTTTGACATAATTGAACTTTTGATAATTTAAAAAAATTGGTACTTTGTTCACTTAGTTAGGTCTATCTTAATCTTTGAACTGTAGTAAACATTTGCTCAAGTGCCAGCTCCAAAAAATCAACACAAATTGTTGGTTTTAGATGTCTCGGTTGGCCTCGTCTATGTTGGAAGAAAATTCATTATTAAAATGTTGTACATCACTACATTCAAGATACCATCGAAGCCTTTGATATGGTATTGCCTATAAGAATGGGAATCTACATCCAAAAACGAAAATGTGCAGCCTTTCTCAAGTTTAAGTATTATTTGAAAGAAACTAGAAACTAAATGATAGACTAATTTGGAATTACTATTCATAAGTAGCTTCGTCATCTACATTGTTCATACCATCATAAGCCTAACCGAAGGCTCTCTCTACGGCATTTTGTAGGTTTTGAAATCGGTTCTAATGCTAAATTGTGCTTATAACCCCTATACTTCTAAAAACTATTCCTACCTTAGAACCTACCTCTCTAGATGACCCATCGATAAAGAGGTTAAAAGTTAGGGACTTAACAGATTCTATCTTCACCTTTATTTTAGGAAAATATTCGGCCATGAAGTCGATGAGAGTTTTCCTTTTGATGAAGGTCCTTAAAAATAATGTCGAACTGACTCAGCTATAACGTACTTCATTAGTCTTCTAAAGGCCTCTCTTTACCTACTTAGATGAGAAATATGTAAACAATTAGGTTGTGAGCCAGGCAGTAAGGCATCAACTCTTTGGAAAATGTGAGTAGTGGTGAGAGAGCTTCTTCATATCAAGGTGTGAATTGATGCCTATAGAAATGCTTTGCTCATATAATAAATGGATAGTTGTTGGTTGCCCTCTTCTTACATAAGCACAAAGCTTATGTCGTCTTTTGAAATGGCCAAGTATAATAGCAATGCTTCTCCAACATTAGGTCTAGAGAGGGTGAGGCATGGCTGAGGTGATTCTTCAGTGTTCGAAAGGCCTCTTCAAACTCACATATCCATTGGAACTTTTCTTTCCTTTAAGGATCTTTAAGATGTGAAGGCATTGATTGATAGCTTTAAAGACAAAACTACTCAGGGCCACCATCTATCCAATGAGATTATGTGCCTCTTTTGATTTTCATGGAAAATGCATATTTACTAATGCCTTAATCTTCTCAAGAATCTTCTCAAGATTGACCTCTATCATCTTTGGTTGACCATGTATTCTAAAAATTTTCAGATGCGACAATAGAGGTACACTTAATGGGATTCAACTTCTTCGTGTATCTCATTAAAATTTAGAAAATCTCTTCTCGGTATTCAATATGATTGTTGGTCTTATGGCTCTTAACCAACATAACATCTATGCATACATTTATGGTTATACTGATTTGTTCAGCGAACATCCTATTCACTAGCCTTAACCTAGGGGCATTATCTTGTAGATGGAATAGGCATCCATGAAGCTAAGAAGCTCATGCCCCATGGTCATATCAACCTATTAAACAATCGTTTGCATGGGAAGCCATCTTTAGGACATACTTGATTTAAATTGGAGAAATTATTACAGACTTTCCACTTGCCATTGTGTTTCAATACCATGACCTAGTTGGAAATCCACTTGGATATTGGGCTTCTCTGATGAAGCCATTAGCAACAAGGTTGTTCGCTTATTCTTTCAGTACCTCATACCATTTTTAGTTGAGTAGCCTTCATTTTTTTCCTATGAGGGCGAAATTGAGGTTAGATCTTGAGTGAATGACAACAAATAATTAGATATGTATAGACCATGTCTTCATGTTATCATGCAAAGACATCCAAATTTTGGTATACAAGCTCTTTAAGGGTAGCCTTTGCCTTCTTTAATAGACTTGTTCCAATTTGGAGTACATGTATGTGTAAGGTTTTTAG